GGGAATGGGATTGGAATTGTGGAATGGGGAAATGGGGTGGGAATGGGATTGGGATTGGGAATATGGGATGGGAATGGGGGCTGGAGTGCCTGAAATCCCCAGAGAGGGTGGGAGTGGGATTGGGATTGGGATTGGGGAAGGGGATTGGGAGTGGAGGAATGGGGAGGGAATGGGATTGGGATTGGGATTGGGATTGGGATTGGGATTGGGATTGGGACTGGAAATGGGATTGGGATTGGGGAATGGGGAGGGAAGGTGAATGGGATTGGGGTTGGGATTGTGAGAATGGGATTGGAATTGGGGTGGGATTGGGATTGTGGGGTTGGGGGAATTGGGAATGTGGGATTGGGATTGGGGTGGGAATGGGGATGGGGACAATGGGGAATAGGGCTGGGGATAAGGAATGGGAAAGAGAATGGGACTGCCCAGGTGAGCACAGGTGAGGGCTCCCTCAGGTGAGCACTCAGGTGAGCACAGGTGAGCACTCAGGTGAGCATTCACTCAGGTGAGCACAGGTGAGCGCTCCCTCAGGTGCCACCCTCGCTGACGGTGGCGCTGTCCCCGGTGTCCCCAGGCCACCCTGGGGCGGCTCCTGGCCCACCTGAGCCTGGTGGCCGCCCTGCAGCGCTGGAACCGCATGGGCCCGCACAACCTGGCCCTGTGCTTCGGGCCCGTGCTGCTGCCCCCGCACACCTGCACAGGTGAGCCCGGGAAGCGCCCCCCAGGACGGCGTGAGGACGGAGGGGTGGATTTCAAACGGCACCTGGAGGTGCTGCATTACCTGCTGAGGGTGTGGCCAGGTGAGGGGACACACCTGGGGAGGTGACACACCTGGGTGGGGGAAGGGAAACCTGGGGAGGTGACAAGGGGGGACACACCTGGAGAGGGGACACACCTGGGTGGAGAAGGGGACACACCTGGGTGGATGTGGGGACACCTGGATGGGGGAGGGGACACACCTGGGTATGGGAAGGGACACCTGGGGTGGGGGGGGGAAGGGACACCTGGGGAGGTGACAAAGTGGGGGACACACCTGG